GATTTKTGGGCTGTGACAACAGTTTGGATGTGCAGAAAATGTCACGCAGTCAGATTTTTGTTATAATACAATAAGCAAACACTCTCACTGATTTGTTTTGTTTGTAAGATATTAATAAGTATATCATGATAATAATATCACAGAAAATAATCAAATTCTAACAACCAGAGACCAAACAATGTTCTGGCGTCAAAGCATTGTATTGGGCAAATGACTTAAATGAGCACTTTATTATGTGAAATCCTCGATTGTCAGCACAATCAGTGCTTAATTGCAGTCCTTTTCAAGCAAAAAACAAAACATGCTTGTAGATGTTTTTCATCACATTTTGGTGGGAATTTTAGCTTTTGATTCAAAGGCAAATGCAGTTCTGAAAGAGGTTGTTTTGTAGAACTTAAGCTAGTATACAAAACCTCATATTAATGGTAAAATGCATTGATTTACCATATCACCTAACCCAATTTATGCCTGCAACGTGTGTAACTGTTAAACACTAACATAAGCACTCATTAGCTTTTATCATGGTGCTTTTGTAAAACAAAGGGAACTTCAGTAAACCAATAAAAATATTGTGAACACTTACTGTATTTATTCATGTATAATACTAGAAATTTAACCCTAAAAATCATTCATAAAGTGGGGGGATAGTATTATACACATGTTATTTTTAGATTTTTATGCTTTGTAAGCTCAAAAAATGATCCTATTATACATGAATAAATACGGTAAATCTATTTTTTACATATATAAAGGCCTAGCATTCATTKAAAAAATGCATATTGTTATGCCTGACTTTTAGACTATTCATCTTGTGTTAAGAAATGATGGAGTTGTAGCCATTTTATTCATTTCCTGAAAGTAAAGTTGGATGTAATAWAGTGCTACTTAATACGTTCTGCATCCATCAATTACGTTTTGAAGGTTTTATTAAAATCCGTTAAGTAGTTTTTGAGCGTTTTTTTGTTTTGTTTTTTTGCAAACTGATGAGACAGAGTTGACTTTAAATACTTAATTGCAAAAATTAAAGTTCTTGTAAATCTGGGTACATTCAYCATGAGATGTTTTTGGAAAGGACACACCCAAACGCAGACATGGACAAAAACATTATTATTTCTCCTTCGCCTTTCGGCAGTGCTTAATAAGTATAATCCAGAGATGTGACTCATCCGTGGCCAGGAGATGTGGCAGAGGAGAGCAGAGCAGTGTTGGTGGCAGGCAGCACAGRGAAAATTGGACCCGACACGAAATGTGAAGCTAACGTGAAGCACAGAGGAGTCACTCTGCTGCACTGCAGACCCCAGCGGCTCCACGAAGTTCGCTGGTTTTTGTCCTGTGGCTTCCACATCTGCACTAACTTGAGTAAATCAGACCACCTTGACTTTGTTGAAAACATAAAGGTTGATTAATAAACTGAGAATCTGATATGGTGTTTATTGATAGATGTTGACAGTTCAGTTCACGACCTTGAACTGTTTGAAGGTTAATGTTTCAGCAAGCTGATTCTGCAGTTCACTGTTTTTCTTTTCGTCCATCTATGTTGCAATCACATGCTGCTTTGCACCTCTGTGTCCTAACCTTTAACCAGCCTTTTGCTTTTGTAATTTCTCCCTTCAGCTTTGCTCTTGCAAGTTTGTGACAAATACGCAAAGGTTATCGTATTTTTCTTCCCCTCTTTTCTGTGTCATTACATTTAACCCAGTTTTATTTTTATTTTGCTTCTGAAGCCAGAGGGGGGTGGGGGGATCCTTTCTGTTTTCAGCAGCAGTGTTTTTGGAGACAAATGGGGTGTAATTCCTGCACAACCTCTTTGATTTCTTCTACTGGTGGAAGGAGAAAAGCAGGTGGAGGTTGAGAGGAGGAGGGAGTTTATGCTGACCATCCTTTCTTCCCCCAGAGAGAGACATCTGCCAGTTGACCTATCTCTAGCAAAGGAAGTAAAAAAAAAAACAACAAAAAACTGATGGGTGGAGACATTACATTGTTTATTTCCTGCAGGAATTAAACGGTTCATGGGTAGTTTTTGTTAGTGTGAGGGACTTTTTTCACCCCTCTCTCCATCTGCTTTTTTTAAGTCTTAATTTTTCTTGGCAGCCATTTGTGTGTTGTCAGGCACTGCAAGGGTCGCAGAGGAGGAGGTCAGTGTGTCTTTGTTGATAAGGCTGGGTGCATTCTCAGTCTGTGTTGCTGTTAAAGATTATATTCCCCATCTGAATTGTATTTTAGCAACTGTACTTCTGCTGTGTTTTCTCTGACTCTTTGACCTGTCACATATTCATTTCACAAGCATATTTTTTTAAATGGAAAGTTCTTAATTGTGAGTTTGCTCAACTCTGGTGTCCATGTGATGTAAATGTCGCCGTGTAATCGGATGACTGTCTAGTCGAGAATTTATTGTTTGCATGCGGACATTTCCACTGACCTAATTTGTTGTGCTCGTGCACAGAATATACCAAACTTCGATTATTCAAGCAACACTATTGGCTGTGAGTTGTTCAAGTGGGTAACTGCTCTGTGGGCGCTTGAGTATTAGAGATGGGTACACAAACATAAACACACTTCAGCTTGATTTTATGACTTCCAGTGATAACTGACACCCCACATTCTGCCTGTGTATATTTTAAACACCAAGGCTTAAAGGCACAGTGTGTAGGATTTTGTCAATTCTTTTAGCCGAAATTGAGATAATCACTAATGACAATAATAAAAAAAACATGTCTAATCATTGCAGACAAAGACCTTGTTTTATTATTTTTACCTTATAAAAAGCTGTTTATATCTCCATGGTCCCAGGTCCCCACTACAGGCAGCCGCCATCTTGCACCGCCATCTTGTCTACGAAGGCTCATGAAGGACAAACTGCGGTGGCGGCGTAAAAACTGTTTTAGTTTTTATACTATAAATGTAATATTTGTTGTCTGTCATTGTAGCTGGGATAATTTTACTTATTAAAGCTCATAATCTTACCACTTGAAACATCACTAGCCCTGAAGCTGCTGGTAGACATCGCGGTTGGAATTATCAAAGGTTTTTGACACCTGAGAGACACCGTAGCAACTCCTTTGCGTTTGGAAGCGGGGGGTGGGGGGAGGACCAGGGAGGATGATTCAACCACTCAACCACTAGATGACGCTGAAAACAACAAATCCTACACACTGTGCCTTTAACAGTCACTGCTAGAACAAGCTGTACAAAAAAACATAAACAACACTTTTTTTGTAAATATTTCTAAATTTTCCTTCGCTTTAAGGAATTAATTTGATAACTGTTACATAATTCAGCTAATTGATTTGATTAAAGTCATTTCGTTTCCTGGTTAGTCTTTCTCTCCCTCCTTATGCTGGGCTGTCCTGATTTTCCACACACAGATTTGTTTGCAGGGCCTCTAGTGCCTCTGCTGAGGTAATTAATAAGGTGTGAGGTGCGTCGGGTGTGTGTGTGTGTGTTTGCGCTGCAGGTGTTACCGTGTTTGCATCTGTGTGCTGCTGCCGCCTAATGCCAGGTCACCAGGCCGGAGCTGAGTCTATGCCAATGCAAGAAAAAAAGCTGTTGTCAGCAGACGCACACGCTTAATGCTCACAGTCAGCATAATAACAGACTACAGGATTCCTCTACGGGGAAAGCTCATGGGGAACATGTTCTATAGTATGGATTTTTGGAAAGGGCAGGACCAGATTTCAACACTGTTTCTAATCAATGTGTTTTTCTTAGTTGGTTTTATTTTTCTAAATGAGGGCATTTAATGAAAACTAATAGCTCATTTACTGGTAATGAAAGTATTTCTTTGAGATTAACTCCTCCAACATGTCGTTTATTTTGAATCCTGGTTTCTCYTAGTTTTAACTCTACACTCTACCACCCAATGCATGGAACTGTGGCTGAACTGCAGAGCTCCTTCAGTGACAGACTGCTGCATCCTAAATGCATAAAACGTTACCGCAGATCATTCCTCCCACCAGCTGTTAGACTCTATAACCATCACCACTCCCAACAATCATGATAAGCATCCATGTTTGTGTTTGCATGCCAAACAGCTCTACCTCTCAATCATTACCTAAATAATAACCAGTGGCAATTGTACTTTGTACATCGTTTTTCCTGTACTGGAACCCTGACTTAATGACAGAGTTTGACTCAATTTGCCCACCCCTGAGTTCGACTCATTTTGCACACCCCCTCGAATTATGAGTCCGAGTCTGTCTGTAATTTCGTATTTTTCTGCACGGTATCTTGCTTTTATTTTTATTTTCATTTTTATCTAATTTCATCTTGATAGTCTGGTACAGCAATTATTATCCTATATTTATTTTTTATTGTTACTATCTTTAATTCGATTATTATTGCTACAGTTGATAGCAATATACTCTTTCTGTGGATTGATGTTTGTATCTCCTGCTGCTATCACACCTGAATTTACTCATGCAGGACAATAAAGGCTGTTTCTATTCTATTCTATTTAGTGCTCCATCATTCATTCTGGCACATTTTACTAAAATATTATCTAACATTTAATTACACCCACAGATATGATCAAGATATCTGCCTGGGTCGATCACTCTTGAGAACCACATTTCTCTCATCTCTTTGGTGTTTAACAACATTTCTTCTGCCTTTTTCTTTCTATCCATCTGCCTTCTCCCCTGTTGCTTTTTATGTTCTTCAACATCCCTACTGTTATTCCTCCCTGCCACTTTCATCCACATCCTCCATCCTTTGATATATGACTTTGAAGTAATTTGTTAAGCTCCATTTTGTCTTTCTCAGGAGCTCCTGTCATACACTAAAGGTGTCTCAGGAGTTATAAAGACTAACTCATTTCAGTAAACTGTGTGTGCAATTTGACCTACTGTCAAGTAGAAGAGACTAGCCTGAAAATTAAGTCATTTTACAGGATATTACAAAAATCTAAAAGATAATTTTCTTTACTACTGGAGAAAGTTGAAAAAGAAATGTATTGACATCAACCTCTTTGGTAATTCAACTTTGCATTTTTTCCCCCACAGATTGTGTTTGAAGATCTTTGAAGTGAAATGGCTTTATTTAAGAACAACTTCTGGGTGAGTAGCTTAAAAATACAACTTAAACAATAAGTTTGTTTTTTAATGCTTACAACAAAATAAGGTGTTCAGTTAAAGATGTGGGTTTACATACTGAATATATCACCTGTTGAGGAACTGRACAGTTGTTTAGGAGGTCTTTGTAGCTGGCTAATTTACTGGTTTGCAGTCAAATGGCCAGTTTCCAGGTTGTTGCCAAGCAGATTAGAGAAATAAATGGATTGGATTTAGTTGCAAGAAACTTTCATTAGCACTTTTTTAATGAGRCAATTCTAGTATTGGTTTGAAGCCAATGAATGAAGTTTAACTTTTTTGTGCTTTTTAGTCAGGAAACTAGTCTGTGTCTGTTTGATACTTGACATAACCGTACAATGCTTTGATAACATTTTGGCCGGAGGRAAAGCAAATCATTTGTGATTTTTCTCAAATTAAACCAGCTCAGAAGAACTGATACAGTGCCCCCCCCCGCTCTATTTTTTTGTACACAAATAAAATAAAAAAATAAATTAGAAGAAAACATTATAAATGTTTCGACAAAATATTGTATATGTTTCCTGATGAGCAAAATAAATAATTTATAATTATTGATGTGTAAACTTCCATTTTACTCATGAGCGTTTTCGTGCGAGTCACTTCCGGGTCATGCTGTGTTCGCCACCCCAGATTCCCATACACGACTCGTGAAGATTTTGGTCATGCGCAGTAAGTCCTCAATGCAAAAGTATAGAGTGACCTGTGTTCGCAGCTGACCTGGGAACACACACCGGTAGTGGATGGGTCCACCTGTGTCGACGACTCGACGTCATAAGGCGGCAGCCGGTAGGGCAATACGAGGTGGATTTTGGAGAGCAACAAAAGAGAAATGAAGGATAAAACAACACTGTAAGTCCCTTATATCTAAACCTTTTCAAAGCAGAATATGAG